ATAAAACACAGTGCAGATTATTAATTTATTAGTAAAGCTCAATTTATTGTTTTTTCACTAGATATCTGTACAAATTTTTCCACACTCTAGTAAATTGCTATAGCCATCCCCTGGGGAACTTGTACCCCACTTTGAAAGATTTAAAATGTTTTAGCTGTTTTCTAATTGTAGTTCTTAGAACTGCATCAGAATCATCTAAAGAGCTTACTAAACCTGCAGTTTCCCTTGTCACAAACCAGATGGGGACCAGGAACCAAGAATCTGCATTTTTAGTGAGCTCCATGATAGGTCTGATCCACTGCTGCAGAACAAGAAGGGTGTTCCTAGCTGTTGTGAAGCAGCTGGCAGGGCCGGCCCAAGGGTCCTAGGGCTGGCTGGGCTGGGGTGGTCTCCTTTATCTGACTCACCTGTTTCCCTCTTGCTCCAGGAAGCCGATGCTAGTGGAAGACTCCGAGTACAGCTCCAATGACACCAGGATTTCCCCCATCTCATCCACCTTGTTGAACCCTGTCAAATTGGCCGTGACCCAGCCCAACAGCAGCTTCTTTGCTGGACTGCTGGAGGGTGAACTGAACAAACTCACCTTTCCCTCAACAGCCAATAACAAAGCCAAGGAGGGGGCCCTGGCCCTTTGCCCCTGCCCATCTACAACCCAAATGGTCTCCGGGGGCCTGGCGGACCTTGAGAAATCCAAAATAGATAAACACACCTCCTCCACTCACTCGGAATCCTCCATGGTCGTGGATGTGCCCGAGCCTCCCTTTATCTGCGAACATACCGTCAGCGATTCCACAGTAGTGGTGCGTTTCCTGCATCCATGCACTTAGCAAAAGCTTACTGTGCTAGCACTGAGCTGAGCTTGGTGGGGAATGTGAAGATGCTGCCTCCTGACCCGGAGTTCATGGTGTAGGAAGAGTGAGAAGGAGGCTATCTGTAATGAACTCCACTGCAAGACAGGAGGGGTCAGCGCTGCAGGAAAGAGTGAGATGGAGTGCCACCAGGAATTCGGAGGGAAAGAAACATTACTTCCAGCTGAAGGAATAAGCTTGGTGGCTTCTGGTAACATTTTCAGGATTTGGGTCACATGTAGATGGAGAAGGAAGGCATTTTGTGAAAGGGCTGAGCCCACCTTGCTGGTGGGGGACTGTGAGAGGAAACAAGAAGCAGCCTACTTTGTTCCCAGGTCCTAATTCAGGGCTTCGCGTGTATTCATAATCCTCCAGATCACCTATATCTGGTCAAAACTGAGACTCCTTGGTCTCATCTCTAGAATTTTCTCAGTGATGAGATTTGCCTTGCTAACAAATTCCTGCATGAAGCTGATGCTATGGTCCCCAAGTCCAGCAGGGCAGCACAATCACGGAGTATGGGAAGAGGGATGGAGGGCAGTAGAGGGGGAAAGTCAGTCTGGAGCCATTTTCCATAGTTCATCCAATGTCCAGCTACTTGGTAGATTTTCTCTGGAAGCAATAGGGAACAGCTTTGTACTGGGCTTTATATCAGAAAATGGATTTTTTTTGTTGTTTTGTTTGCATTGCTGGGGATCAAATGTAGGACCTTGCACGTGCTAGACAAACTCTATCACTGAGCTGCTCTCCCAGTCCTGGTGGATGTAATCTGAGCTGGATTATAGTAAGATAAATCTGGAAGGTCCATTGTTGGATGGTTTAGGGCAGTGATGGCAAACCTTTTAGAAACCAAGTGCCCAAACTGCAACCCCAAGCCCACTTATTTATTGCAAAGTATCTGATGCTTGGCTGCTGGGGTGACTTGGCTTTCGTGCCGACAGAGAGCTCTGCATGCCTGCTGTGGCACATGTGCCAGAGGTTCGCCAGCACTGGCTTACAGCAATGTTTCTCAGTGTGGTCCCTAGACAGGGGAGACAGGCTGTCACATATCAACTTGCTAAAAATTTAAGTTCTCTTCTCCTTCCACTACACTTGTGTCTACAGAACCAGAAACTGGGGTGAGGGGGACAGCAGTCTGTTTTGTTTTGGTACCAGGAATTAAACTCAGGGCCTTGTGTATGCCTGCTGAGCTACATCCCCAGCAGCAATCTGTTTTAATTAAGTTCTCCCAGGGTATTCTAATGCCACCAAAAGCTTGAGAACTTTTCTTTCCCTCTGAAATACCAGTGGCACTTGATCTGAATCTTTCCTGGCTTAGGCAGAGGAGAAACTGGAAATGAGACTGGACAGTAGACAGCAGACCCAGGAATATCCAGTTATGAAACTTCTCTGAGAGCCTTAGGCAGGCTTGGCAACCACTGTTGGAGTACAAAGAGTGTGAACTCTGGGGCTATGGGTTTGAACTTTTGTTGTCATTTAATTGCTGTCACTTGGACTGTAACCCCTACCTGCATAAGGTGGACAAGACAATCTCTAAGATTCTTAACTAACATGGACAGTCTGGAACACATATGGAATGAGGTGTAACCTATGGTGGGTGGGGACAGCCATGCTGTGGGGCAGCTGTGGCCTTATGCCTTCCTTCACACCTGCCTGAGCCCCGGCAGGAGCAGGGGATGGGAGGGGTATTCTGACTCATGCTGAAAGGACAGGTCAAGTCTAAGGAAGCCTCCGGCCTTCTCTCTCCAGATTTCCTGGATCTATGCCTTGGGCAAGCACCAGGTCAGTTTCTACCAAGTCCGGTTACAGGAGGTGACCAAGACGAAAGACAATGAGTCGCCCAGGGCAAAAAACCGGTCCTGGATCTTCAACGAGATCTCGGGTACCACTGTCAAGCTGATGGACCTGAAGCCTAACACGAACTACTGCCTCACCATCTGTGCAGCCAACACAGCTGGGGAGGGGAAGTGGTGTAAGCCCTACAAAGTGAGCCCTGGGAGAAGGGCCCAGGCCCAGGGGGAGAGGTCTGAGTCCAGGGAACCAGAGCCAGGGAGGCTGGAATCCCCACAGACCCCCACCTCTTCTCCTTGCCAGCTTTCCTCCTGCCCGGGCCAACAAGCAGTAATTCCAGTCTGCTTTCTTCAGGAAGGTTTAAGGATAAAGCTACTCTAGGGCCCACCAGGAGTGCAGCTAACTGCATTTCACAGTATCACTATAACCCGAAGGCTTTGGGTTCTTAACTTATTGCTAATAATTTTGAGTGGGCCAGGAACTGAGCGAAACAGAGAAAAGGCTATAGGGGGAGGATAATGGGAAACTCCTGGGGTGGGTAAGGGCCTAGGGGTGAAGAGAAGCCACATATAAACAACCCTTTGGATAGAAGAAACTCAGTTGGGGAGATGCAGGTTTGAACCATGCCTCTTTGGACCTGTTTCCTCCATCAGTGACTGGGTTGGATAAAGCACCTATGAGCCCACTTAGCAGACAAAAAGACAGTGATGGTGACAGAGATGAAGTGAGAGAGCCAGGCTTGGGTCTGGGAAGGAATTCAGAGAGGTTTTCTTTTTTAATGCTGAGGGGTTTTCTTTGTTTTTGTTTTTTTGGGGTTTTTTGGTGCTGGGGATCGAACTCGGGTCCTTGCACTTGTGCAGCAGGTGGCAAAACCACTGAGCTAAATCCCCGGCCCTCTGAGGGGCTTTCTTGTCTCACTTCAGTTTGCAATCGTGGCCAGGGACTTAAGCAGCTTTCCTGAGCGCAGCCCTATCCAGATCACTGTGAGGCGCAGGGAGCCCCGGCGGAAGACTGTGTGCATGGGGCCAGAGGACATGAGGAAGCTGGAGGATCTGGAACACCTATCTCCCTACTAGCAGAGGGCCCAGGACACTGCTTGTCTGCCATCAGCCTTAGCCCTCAGGCATCAGAACCTTGCTGGAGAACCACTGGCTACCCTGACAGCTCAGGGCCTGGCGGTACTGGTACCAGAATGTCACCCCTGGGCCAGGGCCAAATTCACCCGGAGACACTGCAGCTCCCCAGCCCCATTAAAGGACTACAGGTCATCCAACACCCCTAAGTTCTGCTTCCTGCTTTCGGACAGCCTCAGCTGGGCCAGCTGTCATCCACCTCATAGCTCCTGCCAGGGCCAAGTCAGGATGGGTGGCGGGGCAATGGGGACACTGCCACCACCTGTGGCTTGGCTCTGCCATCACTCCTGCCCTGCGGGGCAATGAAAACACTCTTTGCAAGGACAGACAGCACTGGCAAGTGGATGTGGTGGCAGTGTGTAGATCAGCACTAGGTCTGAGCTCTAGAGGGATGTGGTACAAAGTCCCTAAACTTTGGGGCAGGGTCTGCTTGGATTCTTTTTTTTTTTTTTTTTTGGTACCAGGGATCGAACTCAGGACCTTGTGCTGTGAGGCAGGTGCAGTGCCACTGAGCTATATCCCTGGCCCTCTGGCCGCTCCTCTTACTTTACATGAGAGCATGGACAAGTCACTTGAGCTTCTTGGGCCCAGGTAGCTCACTAAACAATGATTCGAGAAACTTCCAGGTCTGGGTGCAGGGTTAGTGTGAGCACAGCAGAACCAGGATCTGGTACCAAGGAGCTCAGCAACTGGTGGCTCCTTGTCCCTCACTGCAGAGACATGCAAGGCGGAGGCTGACAGCCACGGCCAGGTGAAGTGCCAATTATAACAGGACAGATGTGAGTACGGGAGGATAAGGGACCGGCAGAAGTGCCACACCCTGAGCACTTCCTCAAGGACCGTTTGGAGGCCTAATGTGTGCATGTGATACCATGCTTCAGTCAGCACCTGGCACAGGAGAAAGCAGAGGCAGAGTGTGCACAAGGCAAGGTACTGGTCAAGGGCCCAAGGAGGACCGAACGGTCCATTCATGACCTGAAAGTTCAAGGGGTAAAGAATAGTGCCCCCATCGCATCATGCTCACACCTGCAAGAGCTTCACAGCACTGCCCTCACCACTGCCACCCTGGTCTTCTTCTCCAGCCTGAGAGCCCAGCACAGCGCTCAGCGTCCAGCAGGGTCTCCACAGGTGTGGGGCGAGAGGCCGAGCAGGGCTGGTGGGCAGGACTGAGCACACCCTGTGCTGTGCAGTGCTGGAGCCCTTAGTATGCCTGAGGTTCCACCCCTAGCATACTGAACTCATTAACAGTGCTACAGACCACGGGCAGCACAGCCTCACAAACACTGTCCAGCCCTTCCTCTCCCTTCCAGCAAGTCAGTATGGTTTGGGGGTCATCCTGAGCAAGGGAGGGGGCCAAATGGATTTAGCACAGTCTTCAGGTAAGCCCTGGGATTCTAGGACACAGAATTGTAACTCAAACACAAAACATAAGTAATTTATTTGGGCACAGAACCTGGGGCCTGACCTGAGCACAGGAGGAGGCAGGGCCAGCAGTGGAAGCCCACAGAGCCTGGCACTGCACCCCCATGCCCCACTAGTGAGGAGCACAGTGGTGCCCACGGCCGAATTCACTGCTAACTTCTCTTGACTGATCCCACCTCTGGGGCAGGCCACAGCCATGGGACCCATGGGGAGACTCCGAGGGGGTCTGTCCAGGACTGGAAGCCACCAATGGTGGGGCAGGTATGTCCACTGCCACCCCGGCCTTTGCTCTGTCGGCCCAGGCAGCTGGAAGAGGCTGGGTCCAGAAGAACTTTGGGAATTTTCATCTCCTCCATCTGCGGGGAAGGGAGAAATCAAGATGGGGATCCTGCCATGTAATGCCAGGGGCCCACAGCGTACCTTCAGATCATTAAAAGCCTGGCATCATCCCAGAGGGACGAGCCTTTACAAGCACACAGAGCTTTAGGTCTCGAGTGTTTGTCCTCCTACCTGGGATCCTCCTGTCTAGGAAGGCTCGATAATCCCCAAGAGACAGGTTAACTAACTTCTCCACAACTGCACACTCAAAAGCAGAACCCGGACCTGAACTCAGGTTTCAGGACTCCAAAGTCCACTGCTCTAAGAATGACTGCCTTGAGCTGAAGACGCGTCCAGCCCGGGAGAGCGGCCTGAGTGTCTGGGTCTCCAGCATCCCTGCCACCTGCCCACCGAGAACCTGGCTGCACAGACCTTCAAGACAGAGAGAACACCAGGGAAGGTGCCTCGGAATCCCCTGCCAAGCGGGAAAGAACACAAACAGGGACCAACAGACTCCAGGGAGGGGCAGCGGAGCACCCCAACCAGCCCAGCCCACACTCACATCCGGAGGCACTTGTCCTTGCCGCCACTCGCCACTCGCTGGCCATCTGGACTCCAGTCGACAGCATAGACCTAAAGGGGGAGAGGTGGGGCAGTGGAGTGGCAAGGGGAGGAGGGCTAAGGACAACCCCAGACCGCTCTGCCGCAGCGTCAGCCCCACCTCATCTGCATGGCCTGGCAGGTCTGTGGCCAGCTTCTGGGCCTTCACGTCCCACACCTTCAACGTGCTGTCACTGCTGCCGCTGACCAGCAGCCGGCTGTCGGCTGACCACGCAATCTGGTACACGGCGGCTACGTGGCCACGCAGCGAAGCCAGGTACCTGGGCCAGGGAAGATGGTGACGGCCATCAGATGTTCAAGCAGGTCTCAAGGGTCCCCCACGCCATCGCAATGGTTCCTAAGCTCAGTTGCCAGTTAGAATTCCTGGGAGCTTTTACAAAACCACTCTGCCTGGCCAGGCCCACCTGCAACTTTCAAGTCAGTCATCTAGCTGGGACTTTTCCCTACAGCTGCATGCTGGAGAGGAGCCTGGGTGTACCAGGGACTCCTATAATCCCTGTGACTCCTGCAGTCCTAAGCCGCAAGGCTTCTCGGAGACTCAGTTTCCATCTTGTTGTTGCAATGGCAAATAAAACCCAGGGCCTTCACATTGAGCTACATCGTGAGCCCTTTCTATTTTGAGAGAGGGTCTTACTAAGTTGCCTAGGTGAGACTCAAACTTGTGATCTTCCTGCCTCAGTCCCCCAAGTCCTGAGATGACAGGAACATACCACTGTGCCTGGGTAGTTTCCTTATTTATAAAAAAAAAAAGAATTACTTACTTCAAAGAGTTGCTAAGCGAAAATACACAATGCTTGACCCATCAGTTTCCCTTCAGGTCCTACAAAAGCTTCCCTTGCTCTTTTCTCTTCTTGTGTCTACCTTTGCCTCTCCTTCAACCCATTTAACCCCAAGGACACTAGGCCTCCTCACCAGAGCTTCTTAGACCTTAACTGGAAGCAGAATCACCCAAGTGTAACAGGGTGTCCTATAATCCCCATGACCTTACTACAATGCAGATTCTGATACACAAGGTCTAGGCTGGGGACCACGACTCTCCATTTCTATCAAGTTCCCGAAAATGCCAATTCATCTATCTGTGGACCCCACTCTGAGGAGGGCAACACAGCAACTGCAGCACTAACCCAGCTATCACTGCATGCCTGGCCATTGCTCTCCTTCAATACGGAGTGAACTAGCATTTTCAGTGCCCACTTAGTACTAGTCCTAAATATACCATCTCACTCATCCTTGTAACTGTGCTGAGAGGCAGGAGGTCCATGTAACACAGAAGAGGCAGAGACTCAGGAAATCCAGGCACTAGCCAAGGCCACACAGGCAGTAGGTGACATCACCTAGCTCCTTCTGCTGCTTAGAAAACAGACCCACCCCTCAACTCACTTGCCTGTTCTGCCATCCCACAGCTTGATGGACTTGTCAAAGGAGGCACTGGCCACGATGCGCGAGTCGGGAGAGAAGAGCACCTGGTTGATGAGGGCCTGATGTCCTGTCATGCGTGCAAGGGGCTTCTTGTCCTCTGCCGGGGCCCACAGGAACAAGGTGAAATCATCAGAGCCAGACACGAGCCTCTCCGGGCCCTGGCCCTGGGGGAAGCAGAAAGCACATTGTGGTGGACGTGGTCAAACAACGATCACGCACATCAGGGACAGAGGCCAGGGCTGGAGGAAATGGGGCCTCACCTGGCCACTCACTCACATGTGACCCCCAAAAAAGCAAATACTGTGTGTACATGTGGCATGATTTCTAAGATACATAATTACAAGACAGGATGTGGGTCGCGTATTTGTAGAAGTATGTGTATATGTACATACGAAATCTCTGCAAGGAGACACAAGGCACTGGTAGCACCAGATGCCTCCAGAAGGAACAGCTGGCTGTGCAAGAGATGGGAAATGTTTCATGATCTGTCTTTTTGTATTTACAACTTACACTATGTGAATGTGCTCCTCAACAAACTAAACACAATTTAAAAAGCAGTGCCTGGAATGTAATAAATAAGCAAATAAAACACAAAATAAAATGCTCCCTGGCATTATAAGACTGGATTGCAGATGAGCACAAGCATGAACACCTTCTTCCGGGAAGGCAGGTTGTGAGCAGGAGTGAGAAGGGAGCGGTGCGCAGGGAGCGTGGAGAGTGCTGCAGGGATAAGCGGAGGGACAGCTGGGATGCTGTCAGGGCACACACTCACCCGCACAAGGCTGTACCGGCTCAGTGCCCTCTCCTTAAGCTCCTGCACTGTGTCCAGATACCAAAGGAGAGACGAGAAACGACAATGGATGAGAATCCAACACAAACGGCTAAAACCTCCGGTATGCTGGAGGACCAGCTCCTTCCCAGGCAGCCCTCTCCCCTCCTTCCATTCACTCACAGGAACCCCGGAGGTCTTGGGCATTAACTGTGGCCTCAGCGGGCTCAAAGGCCCCAGTACGCAGGGCATAGTCAGTGCTGAGTGCCATGGTGTTCACCCAGTGGCCGTGGCCTTGAAGAGTCCGGCACAGCACACCCTAGGGTAAAGGAGACAGATCAGACACACACACCCATCCCTGGGGCCAAGTCAGACAGACAGACAACCCCCCCCAGCACCCTAAGGCAGAGGGAGATATGTCAGACACACATACATCCCACTCTCCACCCTTTGGGAGGTCAGCCCCAGAAGATGCGTGGCGTGGGAGAACCAAGACCCATCTGTCTTGCTCACTGTGACCTTAATCAAATTGCTCCTGAGGCCCAAGTCCCCCCTCCATTTGTGACATGAGACCACTGGCCTGTTTCACAGAAGAGAAGTGTACCAGAAAAAAAGTGCTTCCGCCAGATAGGTTTGGGCTATGGTGGGTTGCAAAAACTAAACAGGCTTCCCAAAGCAGGACTTCCCAGAGCTTGACTATGCAATGGGGCTGCTGGAACTCTCCCAACCACAGAGCTCCTTGTTCCAGAAGCACCTCCCCAAGTAGGCTCCCAGCACACACTCAGGAAACACCGGACTCACATTTGCCACCTGCCCTCCCTGCATCAAACCCTGCACCGTGAATTTGCCAGCCTGGCTTCTGCACCCTCCCAGCTCTTACATCATGGGCCCTCCAGACTTTGATGGTCCGGTCCTGGGAGGCAGAGTACAGAAGCCCATCCCCTCCCCACCGGAGACAGGTGACCGACTGTGTGTGCCCGGTGAGGATGCGCTCACAGCGGCCTGCAGTTGTGTCCCAGACTCGCACACTGGCATCCTTGGAGCTGCTGGCCACGTAGCGGCACTCAGGGTTCCTGGTGCAGGGAAAGGAAATGTGATCTTACTTATGACCTGGCAGTGCCTGTCTGCCCACCTCACCTCCCATTCCCAACTCAAAGGCCAGGGACAATCTCTTGACAGCTTCCTGTCCCCACGATCTGGCTGCACTACAAGGTGGTTCTCAGGCCTTCTGACAAGCAGCAGGGCAGGCTGGGACTTGGAAGGCCTCGTCCTCCACCTGGCAGCATCTAGATGCTGACCTCGCCCCCCAGGGAAACATAACCACACTGAGCAGGGAAGGAGGCAGCTTCCTGTCCCCCTTTTTGGCTCAGCCTGGTCAATGTCACTTACGCTTGGAGGGGCTCCCAGCTCAGGCCTGTGATCCACTTGCTGTGGCCGGCGAGGGTCCTGCCCACCTGGTTCCCTGTGCTTGGGTCCCACAGGAGAATCTAAAGGAGAGAAACTCACCAAATAACCCTCTGTAAACTGTCACACCAGAGGTCCCCTAGCTACCCTACCCCATCCCACAACTTGATTCTGAACTCCCAAGGGAGATGTGGGTCCCTGCCTAGTTATCCCAATAGTACCTACCTGGCCATTCTTGCAGCCAGAGGCCAGCTTCTTGCCATCTGGGGACCAGGATATGCTAAGGACCCAGTGTCTGTGTCCTAAGAAAGCAGGGGAGGGAGAAAGGAGGAACCCCATCCATCTTCCTCTCTGGACTAGCAACACAAGGGACACTGCAGGCACTCCCTAACCAAACCACACGAACAAGTGGAAGAACAAAAGGAGAGACACTGAGGCTTTCTAGGCTGAGGGAGAACACACCCAATTCCTAGGACTGCGCATCCTGTCGCACAAACAACATTGTCACTTTCTAAGAATTCCTTAAGCGACACAGTGTAAATCAGGGCTGCAAATACAGATTAACATTCGCGGGGGATTTTACAGCAATCAAAAGAAGAATACAGAGTAGACCAGACATAAGCAACATACTTCAGGTGACAATGACTCCTATCACCCCAACACAGGACTGCCTGGTTGCAAGAAAACAAGCCTAGGGTTCTCAATGATTCTACATTATTGTGAGCTGTATTTCATTATAGTACAATGTAATAATAATAAAGCATGCAATAAACATAATGCACTTGAATCATCCCAAAACTATCCGCCTTCACTGGTGGGTGGAAAAACTGTCTTCCACAAAATCGACCCCTAGTGCCAAAAAGGTTGGGGACCTCTGGTGTAAAAGGTTTCCACACGTCATTCCTTGTCACTCTCAAAACAGATCTAAAATAGGGAACAAAGTAAGAATTATGCTCACTCTCCAGATGTGAAAGTTGGGGGACTGAGATTCAGGGTCCATGCCCTGGACACAAATGTCGCTGGCTAATCTATGATACAACAGTGATTCTCCTAGTGTGGTCCCCTGTCCAGCAGCATCAGCACACCTAGTGTATTAGACCCACTGAAACAAACGATCTGGGAGTGGGACCCATCAATCTGTATTTTGACAAGGCCCCTGGGTGATTGTGATGTGCGCTGAAGTCTGAGGACCGCTGTGGCAGAGGCTGGACTCTGCTAATGGGAGGTCAGCCTCTCCCGACAGCCCCACACTGACTCTGGTCCAGTCTCTGCTTGTTTGTAAATGGTGAGGCGCGTGGGTCTCTACCTAGGCAAAGATGGCAGTGAACTGGATCTTAAGGGGTGGAATCAGCTCTAGATCTCCCCAGGGACTAATGAGCTAGGCGAACCAGCCACCTGCCATTGCACTGCGACCGCCTAAGTGGCTAGAGGCATACTGACCCTTGCATGTGAAATGTGGTGTCTCTGTGCTGAGGTCCCAGAAGCGAACAGTAGTGTCCCCAGAGCCACTGGCCAGGTACCTAGGGAAGAGAGGTCACGACTGCTGCTGAGGCCACTTCTCACTCCCACTTCAGTGGTACTGGGAATTGAATCCAGGCAGCACCAGGCTACAGCCCCAGCTCTTTTTATTTTGAGATAGATCTCACTACTTGGCCTTGACCTTGACCTTCCATTCTCCTGCCTCACTCTCCTCAGTAGCTGGGATTACAGGAGTGCAGCACTCTGCCCGGCTTGTCCTGTCCTTTTTTTCTTTTTGGTATGGGGATTGAACTCAGGACCTTGCACTCGTGAGGCAGGCAGCGGAACCACTGTGCTAAATCCCCGGCCCTCTCCTCTACTGATAGAAATAGTAACCAACTTTTTTTGGCAGAGCCATGCTAGGGATCAAATACAGGGCCTCTTGCATGGGAGGCAGGCATTCTATCACTGGGTTAGATCTCCAGTCTTGTGAATAGTTTTCTGTTTTGTTTTGGTTTTTGGAAACACGGTCTCACTGTGTAATTCATGCTGGCCTTGAACTCATGATGATCCTCCTGCCTCAGCCTCAAAGTGCTGGGATTACAGGCATGCGCCAGAGCACCAGGCTATGAAGGTTTTTAACCTTTTCATACCCCCAAAGGATTGTGAGAAGAAATGAATTCCAATTTCACAGGGAAATAACAAACTTGGAAAGGTGAAGTGACTTGTCCAAGTCATATAACTTGGGAGGGGTAGAGCTGAGTCTGCAGGTGGAATCTCCTGAAATGAAGTCCAGGAAGGGCTCTTGTAAAGGTAGGTATCCTTAGTCTATAGGGACCAAACCCCAACAGCGAAACCCCTACTTGCAACCTGAGCCTAGAGCTCAAGTCTGAGATAGGCAGCCCAAGGCCCCACTGATGGTAACTCCGGGCAGCTCTCCCCTCCCCAGTCAAAGGCTGTACCCCTCAACCCCTCCCACGATCGCGCAACTGTCCTTACTTTCCTGTGGGGCTGAAGGCCACAGAAATGACTGCTTCGCTGTGACCCTCTAAGGAGCTGGTGCAGCGTGTCACGGCCCGGACCCTGAAGATAGCCTGTGGCTGGTAGATGATGTCTAGGACCTTCTCTGTCTCCACTGCTTGGGATTCCAACGTCTTCCCCAGCGAGGAGACAATCTCAGCATCGTGGACATAGAACGCCAGGGGCAGGGGATCCTCCTGGAGGACAAGGCTAAGGGGCAGCTCTTCCACAGAAGGGTGTGCAGAGGACACCTCTGCCCAGGTCACTCCCCACAGAGCTGTTCCAGGGGAGGCTGACTTCTTTTCAGCCACCCTGCTTGGGATAACCCCTTGATTCCCCATTAGGCAAGACCTTTTTAATCCTTGAAGAGCAATCTCAGGACATTTATGTGACATGAAACCCTTTATCTGCATTTCATAACAAATCTGGGAAGTAGACATTAATATTCCCCACTTGATGGATAAAAAAACAGGCTCAGAGCAACTCCTTCAATGTCCCATTGCTAATGACTAATTTAGGTTCTTCAGTGTTCTTCAAAAAGAACAGTAAAGTCCAGAATTAGGGTTAGCATATAACGTTATGCAGTGTTTTCCAAACCACACCATGCTTATCTGTGTAAGAAGCAGCCAAAAAGCTGGTTAAAAATGCAGATACTCTGGATATATAAGAAATGCCTGTGGGATGAATTACTGAATCAGGATTTGAGTCTAGGATCCCTTAGTCCTAAGGTCACAGAATCATAGTTTTCTGCTAATGGTGAGATCCTCTGATATCACCTCATCGCTTGCTCTACAAGTCGGGCTTAAGATTTGAGTTAAGATGAGCACAGGGAATTCATCCATCCATCCACTCATTCATTTGTTCATTCAACAAACATGTGTTTAGGTTTGGTTTGGGTCAGGTGGGGTCCAGGAGCTTCATTTTAAGGCACCTCTCAACAGACCGCAGCGTTTCACAAGCACTGGCTTAAAAGTTAAGAATACGGGGTTTTGAGCCTGAGGGATTTTGGTTCGAGTTCCAAATCTACATCTACTGCGTAGCACTAAGCTAATAATTTAATACTTTCAGGCCACGCCGTAACACGGGGATATTAGCGTCCGCTCTTGCGGGCTGTGACTAGGGCTGAGGGAACCACCGCACTCAACGCGTTCAAAATGCTGCCTCTCCGCAGCGGGACCTGATGGCCAGAGTTAAAGGTGCTTCTGCACTGTTTCCGTCTCCTGTCCTTCCTGGGAGGCAGGTGGGGGACTCAGGCTAGGCGGACCGCCCACGTTCCTGAATAGGGGGGACCTAGAACCCCAGACCGTCGGTCTCCCGGTCGGCCCGGGGCCCGCTCACCTGCGCCAGCAGCGCGTTGCACACGAGCTGCAGCCGCTCGGGGGTGATATCCACCGGCACGTCGAAAGGGGAGCCTAGCAGCTGCCCGCCCTCATCCTGGAACTGCACCAGCAGCCGCTGCACGTCGTGCGCCGCCGCCTCGTCCTGCGCGAACAAGCGGGGCGGCCATCAGCCCCGCCACCCAGCCGCTAGGTCCTCCGCTTCGCCTCCCTCCGGCCTGTGGGACCCGGCCCGGCTCCCGGCCTTGGCGCCCCTGCCCCATCCGCTCACACCCACCACCACCTCCGCCGCCATCCTGCGTCCCCACGTGGAGCAAAAAGGTTCCGGACGGGCAGAGCGCCGCCTCCCTGTCACGGGGGGCTGCCGATGGCCACAGCGCCCTCTCGTGTTCGGAGGAGAAATCATGCCGTGCCCAGCCTGTGGTTGTGCCCTGTTAATTCTTTAATTCGTTAATTCCTGTGTGCCTAGGATGCAGTCCCAACAGGGGTTCTTCATTTCATAGAGGAGCAAACTGAGGAGCTGAGTGGTTAATTAATTTTCCAGACAGAGGCTAATGGCCTGTGGTCCAGGCAGCATCACCCCGCAGGGGTGGCTTATAAAGCCAGGAACCAAGTTCTGGGCCAAGGGAAGAAACAATTATTCTTTAAGTGGATGGGTCCAATTAATAATAGTTGATGAGCACAGAAACAATCAATCTCTACAGTTATCAAAACTGTAGAGAATAAGAATCATGGTAATGGTAGCATCGTGCCAAGAGATGCAGAGGGAAAGGGGGAATGGGGAGGGGTGTAAAAAGAATTCCGAGTATGTGTTACATACATGTACCAGTTCCCCAGGATGAGTGTAATCATTATGTACTGCAAAAATGGACTACAAAAAATGACAACATTGTGTCAGGCAGGGTTCAAAGAGGGTTATATACGTAACTCATTTAATTCTTACAACAACCCTTCTCTCCCCGTGTTACAGATGAGGAACCGACACAGACAGCAGTGAACATGAGCTTTCTTGTGGGACACCTGGGATATCCCACAGCAACTCTCCTGTCCCTGGCTCCCCATCCCCAAGCAGTGCAAAGCTCTGTCATTTCTGACACACCAACAAGTGTGGGTCTGTTCTGTCCAGCGCTATGGTTACATTGAATGACACAGAGTCATTGTCACTCTCTGTCTCCATTCCCATCCCCTCTCATCCATTCTCCATGCAGATCTTTCTGATCCCAAACCTGATCTGTTACTGACTTTTCCCCCTAATTCCCTGGCATGACTCCCTTACAGGCAGGAAAAAACCAGGCTCCCTTTTAGGGTCCGCTCAGCCTTGTAGTCTCCAGCCACCTTTTTTTTTCTTTTTTCTTTTCTTTTTTTTTTGTAGCAGGGATTGAACTCAGGACCTTGCGCTTGCGAGGCAGGCGTTGGAACCACTGAGTTAAATCCCTGGCCCTCCAGCCACCTTTCTTGAAGATCAAATCCTGCTGGCATTTTCTGGGCTCTTCCTGAATCCAGGCCTTGGCACATACAGTGTTCTCTGTCTGAGACAGTTAGGGACTGAACCATGTACCCCCAAATGCATAGGTCAAAGAATACAGGTCCTATAAGGAGATGATAAAGGTTAAGTAAGGTCATAAAAGTAGGACCCCAATCAGACAGAGTTGATGCCCTCATAAGAAGAGAAACAGACTTTAGAGCACTTCCCTCCTCCTTCTGCCTCTCCCTCTCTCTCCCTACTTCCACCTGTGACCAGAGCTCACACTAAGAAGGGGCTCTGTGACCCAAGAAAGTGGCAGTCTTCAAGCAAAGGAGAGAGGCCTTACTGGAAACCAAAACTGACGGCACTATGATCTTGGATTTCTTAACTCTGGAGCTGCCAGAAAGTCCATGTCTGTTGTTTAAGCCTCCCAGCCTGTGGAAGTCTGTTGTGGCAGGCTAAGCCACCAACCCGGAAACAGTTCCTCTATTCTTCCAGTCTTTCCTTACATATTCGTTCATTCATCCACCCATCCAACAAATGTATTGACCACCTGCTCTCTCCCAGACATTGTTCTTGGAACTCTACTTATATTAACTAATTTCTCACTCAGAGACACTTTCTCCAAAACATCACATTTTCCTGTTTTGTGTTTTCAAACATTCTAGTATTCCTCATATTTAGAAATCACAGATCCATGCAATTGTTCCATTCATTCAGTTAACTAATATTACTGAGCACCTAGTATGTACCACACACTATTATGGACACTTGGAATATGTAAGGGAATTGGACACAAATCCTTGGCCTTGTGAGTGTTCTCTGCTTCCATTATCATTCACAGTTCCTGGTACATACAAGATGCATAAGAAATGCTTGAGGAATGCATTACTGAATTCGGAGGTTGAGGCAGGAAGATTGTTTGAGCCCAGGAGTTTGAGGGCAGCCTGGGCAACATACCAAGATCCTGTCTCAAAAGAAAACATATGTTAAGCTGAGTCTTATGTTCAGCAGGGCAGTACCACCTGTTGAAGATCACATAACTATGTGTCCACGTGTCCGGAGTCATAGAGAGGAGCATAATCTAGTGTGGGTCACCCCACTTATGCATCTTCTTTAGTCTTTTTCAGGTAAATGTAGAGATATATAGGGAATGGGGAAGAATAGAGGTGAATGGAGCAAAGCATCAGCATGAAGAGTTCATTCATTCATTCAGAAAACACACATCAGGCACCGACTCTGCCAGGCCCTCTTTCCCCAAAGGAGCCAAGCTGCCAGAGCTACTGTCCTTGACATCGGGGTCAGGGGGTGGGGGAGATCTTGGACTAGATGTGGAGATCCCAAGAGGCAGGAGACTTGGCTGAGTCCAGTGAGGACAATCTTGTAACTATGCTTTGGGACCCCTCTGTTGGCTGAAGAGAAGCAGCATCTGTCCCCCGACAGACCCTTCTGTGATGGTGAACGCACTTGCCCAGGAAGACCCTCTTCTGATAGGGAAAACTGCTGTCCCAGGAGTGTTCCCTGTGAGTGAGTGGGGGTGCAGTTCTTGGTTTCCAGCCAAGGAGATTTCAGTCGGATGGGGAGAAACAGAGTCCACCCTCTGGGAGCCACCAGTCAGACGCGGTGGCGGGGGGCGGGGGGGAGTGGACTAGTAGATTCAGGCACAGAGAGGGAGGGCAGGGGACAACACGAACACCCAATCAGCAACTGTCTCATGCTGCACCAAGGTAGCAAGTCCCATTGGTCTTTCTGAAAAGCAAGGGGATTTTCAACACCCGAATGTGGGAGGTGCAGGTTGAAGTGTTGGGAGCAAGTACTGATCCAAAAGAGAAGGAAGTTTCCTCCCCCTCGCTTCCCCTGAGACATTTCTGGAAGTCTCCAGTTGGTTGGGGGCCTGGGCAGCTGCTCGGTGTCCAAGTCCGCCTGCCCCTCAGCTGTCACTCTGCTCCCAAAATAGTAGGGGAGAGGGGAGGAGGTTGTTTATCTGGGGTAGAGGTGGAGAAGGGGCATCATAGCTGTGTCTAGGGAGGGCGTCTGCTGGGGGTTCCTGTCTCTTCTGGATCTTTCAGCCTTTGGAGAATGAGTGTCAGAGAGCCCCCCAGCCCACCCCAGAGGGGGGTGCTCAAGGGGCAGAGGACAGCCAGGACTTCCACGTGGTCATGTCTGTCCACTCCGGGCAGGGGGAGGGCCCTGAGTGTCAATGACAGACTGCAGGCACACCTGCCCCTGTGGCCAAATATGGTGTGGAGCCACCAGCTGGGGTGATAAAGTCTCCTGGGTAGGGTGGGAGGGGAGACCGAGGCTGCTGGCTGACGTGGACGTGAGAGCTCAGACGTAGCATTGAGAGGAGGCAGCCCTGCTTGAGAGAGTGAGCTGGGTCAGGGACTGGGCAGGAAAGAGCTGCTGAGAACTTTCGGGTCTGTGAGGAGAGCTCAGGCCTTTGGTGTGGTGGCTTCACCCACCCCAGGCTGGGAGGGACAAAGAAGTATGCCCAGGGGATGGGGACCAAGCTCCAAGCCAGTGTTGTAATGTCCTTCAGGATTTGGGGGTGTTGGGGTGGGTCCTTTCCAGGCAGGATCCCCACCCTCCACCCTGGTAGGGGTTGGATCTGGAGCTCCGAACCTCAGGCCAGGAGCCCTGCTCTGTGACCGAGCAACGGGCTGACCAGATGGAGCTGCTCTGTCCCGACAGATGGCAGAGGCAGAAGCAGCACAGCTGAAGGAGGAAGGGAACCAGCATTTCCAGCGCCAGGACTACAAGGCAGCCACCAAGAGCTACAGTCAGGCCCTGAAGCTGACCAAGGACAAGGCGCTGCTGGCCACGCTCTATCGGAACCGGGCCGCCTGTGGCCTGAAAATGGTCTGGGGCACAGCAAGCAGGATATGGGCTGAGGGCTCTCAGGGGCGGGAGAGGCTCACAGGGCTGTGGGCTGTGGTCCCAGGTATCGCATTTGAGTCCCTCGGGTTGGAGAAGGGGGCCTCCTGCCGCCTGACCCACTGCTCTGGAGAGACAGAAATTCATCCCGATCAGAACCAGCCTGGCCCCAGCTGCTTTTTGCATTATTTCCTGGCATTTTAAGATCATCCCGAGAGGTAGCGACTGTGACAAGTCTATACAGTAGGCAAGAAGCTCTAGCCAGGGATTTAGCTCAGTGGTTTCACTGCCTACTGTGCAAGCGCAAGGACCCGAGTTCGATCCCTGGTACAGGAAAAAAAAAAAAAAAAAAGAAGCTCGAGGCTCAGAGGGCTGAGTTAACCTGCTCAGGCCCGCACAGGTGGCCGCAGAGCCCCAGTCTGTCTGCTATCAGTCTGTCTACTTCTCCATACCTGGCTCTCGCAAGGCCTGCTGCTCCCTGCAAAGCCCTCCCCTCGCTGCTGTGATGCTGAGTGTTGGTCTCTGTGCTGGGCCCCATTGACTGGGTCTCTCCTTTCCTGTTTCTCAGGAGAACTATGCCCAGGCAGCTTCAGATGCCTCTAGAGGTGAGCGCCCCTGACCTGACTTCACCCCAGCCTCCTCCCAACATGAGCTGTGCTGGGTCTTGATATTATTCTGGTTACGTTTTGGGGTTGTGATTGTTTATTGTTTGTTTGTTTGTTGTTTGAGAAGCAATGATACTGTCTGAGGTGGCCTCAGAAGAGAGGCAAGCAGCTGGAGAAGGGACAGAAAACATCCTGCATAGAGCAGTTGAACGAAGTGGCAAGACAAGATGTGATTTAAAAATATTGGGAATGTTTAAATTTTAAAAATTGTTACAGCTAAAGACAGACTGCCATTAATCCCCCTCAGAATAGCCCCCCACTATGCTTCAAACACACTTTTCCCGTTGTTCTTGCCACTTTCTGAAGCAGCTCTGGAAAGTCCTCTTTTGTGAC